TTAAAAAAAAATCAGAAAGCACCACTCAGAGTGTACTCTGTGCTCCTGAGTTTCAGCTCCATCTTGCCAAGCATACAGAGATGAAGACATTGTTTCCCAGGGCATGTTGGGGACAGAGCCCCCCATCAACCCACCCCACAGGCAGTCAGGTGTGCCCAGTCATGGCGATTTAGATTGTTGAATAAATTTTGTTAGGTGGTGTTAGTGACTTAGTATCTGGCGAGTGCATCCGTACTGTAAAAGATTATCCATCCTTACACAGTAACCTGTCATGCATACATTGAGGATATTTGTAAGCCAAGGTGGGGCTTATGGAATGGCAGCCCATAGCTGTAAGTTTTTTTTTTTTTATCATATATTCCACAGCAGGAGAGGAATCTATTAGTACCAACATTGTTGTGATCTATAATGTGCATATATTCAAAATATGTACCATCATATAATATGTTATATATATATATGTGTGTGTGTGTGTGTCTGTGTCTGTGCATATATTTGGTATATATTTTACATAATGACATTTTGATAAAAGGAGGAGAGACTACGTTTTTTGAGATATAAAATAATCTACGCAGGCAAGGAATATTGTCAGAAAAAAAGTATCAAATACCGCGCAGACTAAATCCACAGTGATCAGGTGGACGACCAGGTGCAGAACCCCTGGCTAGGGAAATACAGTGATTGGTTAGGGTCTAGGGGGTAATATTTGTGGATTCCCAGGAGTGCCTCCAAGGTTGTTGGCTAGAGTAGGGGGTACTTTCTCAAAGGGATGCATTCACTTAGTAAACAGTTACCATATATTTACGTATGGTAAATGAATGTAGGAAAATAAATTAATCATCTGTTTCCATTTATTCTTGCTTTTTGGAACTTAACCTAATCTATCCTACCTAGCATAACAATATGTGATATAAACCAAACCTATTATCTTTATTGAGGTGATGTGTAGTAGGCTAAGGTACCCAAGTACTAAGGGGAGATAGCAACCTATAGAATCTATAGATTGAAGCTATGCATCATATAATGTTGGCCCACTTTATTTTATGCACTTAGCTATACATGCAGTCATCCAATTTAGTGAAAAATTAGAAGCACAGTAAACATACAGTTACCCAGCACCAGTGCACATGGCATGAATGTATTAAGTTGGGAGAGGTTAAGGTTTCTACAAAGTCATTATTATGCATAATAAAGCTAAGAATGAACTGAATCAGACAAAGCAGGTGTGAATCTCTGTACTCAAAGCAGTTGGTATGTTTCTTCACTAAATAGATCTGGTGCTATGGAAATAGTATAGAAAAAATAGCTTAAGTGGTTAACTTTATTTGTCTCAGCTTGCAGGAGATAAACAGAAGATCAAAATATGTTCTGGTCTCCATAGTACAGCAAGCCTCCACTTATATATTCAGGCATGATGGAGCTTGGACTGGTTCCTTACTTGATAGTAAATTTGCAGGGTGATCTACAGAATATAGGTGGGAGAGTTACTTAACCATTGCCAGAATGGAAAGCTTGGCGGCCCATGTTGCTGAACCCAATCGCCCCAGACTGAAAGAATATATGCCATGCCCACTGTAATGTTACTTAATTAAATGTATTTACAAATAGATGGTTTTGCAAGTGCTTAGCCACCAAGGAGTCAGTTATCTCACCTGCTTACCCTTTTCCTTATCATTTTCTCCAAAGGAACTTTACAAGATTTTGCATATAGCTACAACCTTCCCCTGACTTTCTGGGATTAATTAATCTTTTATCTTTAAATGTTTGATTGTTATATATCACTTTTCTCATTTGTAATATGATCTGATGCTTATGTATACACTGATTTTTTATGAAGTATTTCCCATAGGCCAAGTAAAAAAAAAAAAAAAACTTTCTTTCTTTCTTTCTTCTTCTTCTTCTTCTTCTTCTTCTTCTTCTTCTTCTTCTAAGGTGGGAAGTGATGTAATGAACCTGTTCATGGACACCACCTCACTCTAAACCCTGCCTCCCAGATATGTATATCACATTGAAAGGATAAAACTGGGGATTAGATTGAAAATACAAATTTTGTTTATTTTTTAAAGCATCAGACAGAGGGCTGCCATTTTGATATTGAGATGATATAGGCTCGCCCTATGCAGTATCATCGTTCAACAGACCGTGCCAATAGACACAATGCAGTCCCTGTGGCACGAGGTGTCCTCAGTGTGCTTTGGTAGTCAAATCTAGCCATTGTGGCACTAGGGGTTGGATTTTTGGCGGTATTTTTGAAAACTAGGGTTTTAGATTTGCTTTAGACAGGAATTTAGCTTTTTATATATACATGTGTATATATATAAATATATGTATATATATATATATATATATATATATATATATATATATATATATATATATATATTTATATATTTATTTATTTATTTATAGATATATGTATGTATGTATAATATGGTCCCCCAAAAATGCCAACTGAAGCATTTTCTTCATCTTCTTCTTCTTCTCCTACATGTATGTCTTT